TGGGGGCCTCAGGGACAGAGGTTGACTCTGCAGTGGAGTGCTGGAGGTGGGGTGTTCAGACGGCTGAGTTTGGTTTCCTCTTACAGAAAACGGTGGAGGACAGAGAGGGTGGTACCTGGGGACAACAGGTCCCAGGCAACACTGATAATCAGTGACACAGGCCACTCACCCTGGGCTTCTGCTGAGCACCAACAGCAGCTACAGTGAAGACAGTGTCCCTGCAGGGGGCCACTAAGACTGTAAAAGGCAGGCGATTCCAGGAGACTGGGACAACATGACAAGGTTTTGTCTTAGCCTCTGCTGTGCTGGCAGGAGATCTGCACAGCATAGGGACTGCGAGACCCTGTGCCATTCCTCAGCCCCACGTCGGTCCTGGCACAATATCAGCCTCTCCTCCATCATCACCGCAAGCTCCCTCCCTTTCACTGTCTCAACTGGGCCTTAAGAAAACCCCATGGGGCCGGTGCTGTGGCCCAGAGGGTTAAAGCCCCGGTCTGAAGCACAGGCATCCTATGCGGGCAGCGGTTCTAGTCCCAGCTGCTCCCTCTTCTGATCCAGCTCTCTGCTCTGGCCTGAGAAAGCAGTGGAAGATGGCCCGAGTCCTTGAGCCCCTGTACTCGTGTGGGAGACCCAGAAGAAGCTCCTGGCTCCTGGCTGCGGATCAGTGCAGCTCCGGCCGCCATCTGGGGAGTGAACCAGTGGATGGAAGACCTCTCTCTCTGTCTCTACCTTTCTCTGTAACTCTGTCTTTCAAATAAATAAAATAGGCCGGTGCCACGGCTCACTTGGCTAATCCTCCGCCTGCGGCACCGGTACTCTGGGTTCTAGTCCCAGTTGGGGTGCCAGTTCTGTCCCGGTTGCTCCTCTTCCAGGCCAGCTCTCTGCTGTGGCCCAGGAAGGCAGTGGAGGATGGCCCAAGTGCTTGGGCCCTGCACCCCATGGGAGACCAGGAGGAAGCACCTGGCTCCTGGCTTCAGATCGGTGCAGCACGCCAGCCATAACAGCCATATGGGAGATGAACCAACAGAAGGAAGACCTTTCTCTCTGTCTCTCTCTCTCACTGTCTAACTCTGCCTGTCAAATAAATAAATAAATAAATAAATAAATAAAAATAAATCTAAAGAGAAGGAGAACTCCGCGGAGGTTACAGGGCACAGCGGTCCTCCTCATTTCACAGATGGGACAACTGAGAGTCAGGATGTGGGAGGCACTTGCTATTGAAATGAAAATGCACAACTCAGATCTTTTGCATCCAAGCTGAGTGCACTCCCCACTACCCCACACTGCCTCCCATGGGGCCCCGTGAAGCGGTGTGCCCAGGGCAGATGGCTTGGAGCTAGCTGTTCCACTTCCAGCCACAAGCTGCTGTATGCCAGGGGCCGTGCTGGGGAATTCTCCCGCTGTGGCCTCCGGTCTCACGGTTTTCCCTAAGACCCAGTGAGTAGACGCTCTCGACCATACTCTACACAGACAGGTTCACAGTTCGTCAGACACTGCCCAAGGACACACAGCTGGGAAATGGTCAGAATCTCCCCTAGGTGGGGCTCACTCCTAAGCCCAGACTCTTCTTGCTTCACTGTGTTCTCCATATGGACAAGGGTGGGTCTCCTCCAGGCCTGTGCCCAGCCCATCACAGATTTTAATGCTCACTCATGGGCTTATTATCCCCCAGGCCCAAAGCATTAAAAGGAACAAAGGAGAACACCTCACTCAGACAGAAGAGGTGATCTAATGAGAAGTTACAATAATCACAAAGCTTTATGCTCCTAACAACACAGCTTCAAAGTATACAAATCTAGAGCAAAAATGGGCAAATCCACAAGCCCAGATTTTATATAGCTCTATCAGAAATAACTTAAACAGACCCACAATTCTCAAACATATTGGTCTCAGAATCCCTTTGCACTCTTAAAAACTGAGAGGGGCCAGTGTCCCATGTGGCTGCTCCACTTCCAATCCAGCTCCCTGCTAATGGCCTGAGAAGAGCAGTGGAGGATGGTCCAAGTGTTTAGGCCCCTGCACCCACACAGGAGACCTGGCGGAGGCTCCTGGCTCCTAGCTTCGGCCTAGCCCAGCGCTGGGTGTTGTGGCCATCTGGGGAGTGAGTCAGTAGATGGAGGATTTCTCTCTTTGTGAAGCTCTTTCAAAATAAATACATATTTTTTAAAAACTGAGTGAGATGAGCTTTTAGGTTCATGTCTATAATTATTAGCCAAATTTGAAATTTAAAATGAGAAAAAAATTCACTTAAAATAAGATTGTTATATATTATCATACATTTTTATTTAAAATAATATTTTCCAAAAATAGATTAGTGAGAATGACACTCTGTTACATTTTTGCAAACCTCTTTAATGTCCGGCTTAATGGAAGACAGCTGGATTCTCATATCTGCTTCTGCATTCAATCTCCTGCCGTATGTGTTTTGGCTGAATTGCATTAAAAAAAAAAAAACCTGGGGCCTCACACAGAAATGCAGTTGGAAAAAGGAGGAGAATTTTAATAGCCTTTTCAGATAACTGTGGATACTCTTTGATATTACCAAAAAAATTACCATGTGGTAGTTTCTTAAATGTTGTAATGTAGGATCCAAAATGCTACCCACCCACTTCTCTTACTCTATGGCCCTGCACTCCATTGGTCTACTATTTACACTGAGTGGGTCTCTGAATTACGTATAATTTTGGCCTGGTGGACCCCCAGAAGGATCTATATGAGGTAGAGAGGCCTCTACATAAACTCTGCTCATAACAAACCATGAGTACACACAGTCCTTTGGGTAGCCGGTCCTCTCCATCAACTGGGGGGGTATGAGAGCCTACACTGACTGCGGACACTCCGAGATGGACGGATGCCACGCACGCCAGGTGTTGATCCAGCTGCCGAGGGCTCAGTTCAGCCTCATCAAGAAGGGCTACCACATCAGAGGGCAGCCGTCTCCTGCGTGGCCACACAGCCAGGGTTACTGCCCGGCCGCCCAGCGAGAGCCCTCCTGATGCCAGGCCCAGGGCTGGTTCCTCTAAAGGGCATCCATCTTCACACCCATCGCAGTCCCATGTGGGGAACCTTGGGCTTCCCCACGACAGAGCTGCCAGGCAAACACTGCCCATTCTCCCTTTCCAGCAGGCTTCCAACCTGGCCGCATTGCGCCTTGGCATCCCTGGAGCTGCCAGGTAGAGACTCAGCCCTCAGCCCATGTGCTGCTGTTACATAAGCAGCAGCAGGAACAATGCCGGGCTCTGTCCAGCCCAGGTCAGGCACTGGGGTGCCAAGAACAGCAGAGCCGACCAGCTGCCCGAGGAGCCAGCACCTTGCACAACCACCTGCGGGGCTCCGGCACCCCTGCCAGCGCTCAAAGCCACAGCTCCCCTAGAGGACACAGCCTGCCAAACCCAGAAGCAGCCAGAGGGAGCCGGAGCACAAGATCATCATTGCTGCTCAGGGCCTCCAGACCACACCCAGGGCCAAGGTGTGCACAGGAGATGGAGATGAACACACCTGGGCATGTTGACACGGTGCCGGGGACTTTCTGCCCATTCATTTTATTTCCCTCGAGATGACTACTGGGGAAGTTCCATTTTACAAACCAGGAAACCCGTCAGATGGGCACACAGCTAGTAAGCAGGAGGGTTCGACCCTGGCTCTGACTGCAGACTGCAAAGTCTGAGCCCTTACACCATCGCCACACCCTGCTGTCCGGCCCTGCCGATCCTCACCTGCCTGTCATCCATAGAGCCTCTTCATGCTGGGGGCTGCAAGAGGGAGAAGGGGAAAGGCAAGGCCACAGTTTGTTCTACCTGGAGCCAACTCGCTGTCACCTGGACGCACAAGATATCCTGTCCAACTCTCCCCCTGCCCCGCCCCGCCTCCCAGGCTCTGTCCGCTGAATCTTCTGTTTGCTCGGCTCTGCCTTGTGTCTTTTTCTCCCAACTAGGCCAGCTGAACAGGGCTATGTCTGTTTTACCTCTATATCCCCAGCCACCCCTCACCTGTGGTTTGTGCATAGTAGGTGCCCTGCACATAGTAGGTATTCCACACATGTTCACTGAATATCAAGGGGTAGACCCTCTCCTCTTTTCATACCACTGTGGGGACGGGTCCATGGGGAAGACAAGAACTCTGGAAACATGGTGGGGGGGAGGTAAGTGCCCCAGCCAGCAGGGCCCACGACATGCACCCATCAGGGCACTCCCCTCACCCAAGGCTGGGAGGGCCCAGTCAGGCCAGGCCCTCAAGCAGTCCCCTCCCACCAAGCCTCCTGGTCAAGTTCCTCCCATGGGAAGGGTAGACAGCAAGGCCAAGACCGGAGAGAAAGGAGCCCAAGAACTGAGTTCAAATTCTGGCTCCTCTGACACACACACACACCCATAACCTGGAACCCACGCCTCCTGGCTGCTCCTGGGCTCCGACTGGAACCAGAGCACCTGGGTCTAATCCTTAATTAACTTCCCTCAGCCTCTGAATCTCTGTCTGTAATGTTCTTAGACAGACTGGGCACAGAGTTGGCAGCCACTGAGCCCTGGCAAACATGAGAAACAGTGGTTGGTGAGGCTGTGATTACACGGACCCTGACTGAGCTGTCGTGGCCTCTGCCTGTGCCAGGCTGCAGTACCCAGCACCACGAGGGAGCTCATGAACACCGAGGGTGAGTGGGCCGCCAGCAGCCTCCCACCAGGGCAAAGAACCAAGGTGTCGGGGAAGAGAAAACAGAGCGGGAGGGAATGGCCTGGGCAGAGATAAGCGAGGGAGGTAAGTGCGTGAGAAGAGGAACAGGAGACTGTGGCGGAGAGAGATAAGGAGGAAGGATGGAGAAGGTGAGGGGCAAGGGTGAGCAGAGGGAGGCGACGGAGCCCCAGGGAGAGGCGCAAGGCAAAGTGAGGCCACATCTGGGCGGGGAGTGACGAGGGGCGCGGGCAAGGGCGGGAGGGGCGCAAGGCCCCACCCCGCCTCATGCCTTGGGGCGGGCGGCCTCAGATTGGCTGGGCCCAGCGGCGAGGCCAGGGCTGGAGCCCAAGGTGGGAGGCGCCAGGATCGGGCACCCAGCACAGAGCGCCGGCTGCCACCCACTTAGACAACCTCAGCTGCAGCTGCCGCGGCGCAAGGGGCTGGGGGACGCACGCTGGGGCACCTGGGGGCGCGGCGCACCAGGCATCGGGGTCTGCAGGGCGCGCTCCGGGACAGCGTAACCATGCGGGCGGCCGGGGGCGCGCGGGCGGCCGCGCTGGCGCTGCTTCTGGGCGCACTGCACGGGGCGCCGGCGAGCGGCGAGGAGTACGACTACTACGGCTGGCAGGCCGAGCCGCTGCACGGCCGCTCCTACTCCAAGCCGCCGCAGTGCCTCGACATCCCCGCCGACCTGCCGCTCTGCCACACCGTGGGCTACAAACGCATGCGGCTGCCCAACCTGCTGGAGCATGAGAGCCTGGCCGAGGTGAAGCAGCAGGCGAGCAGCTGGCTGCCGCTGCTGGCCAAGCGCTGCCACTCGGACACGCAGGTCTTCCTGTGCTCGCTCTTCGCGCCCGTCTGCCTCGACCGCCCCATCTACCCGTGCCGCTCGCTGTGCGAGGCCGTGCGCGCCGGCTGCGCGCCGCTCATGGAGGCCTACGGCTTCCCCTGGCCCGAGATGCTGCACTGCCACAAGTTCCCCCTGGACAACGACCTCTGCATCGCCGTGCAGTTCGGGCACCTACCCGCCACCGCGCCTCCAGGTAGCGCCGTTGCCGCCGCCCCCGCGCGCTCCTAGGGCCCTGGGTGGCGCGAGCTGAACGCTGGGCAGAGGCCGCTCCCCAAAGCCCGCCAGCTTAGCTCTGCGAGCACCCCCATAAGTCCCAATCTGCCTCCCCACCACCCCCTCCACACACACACACACATGCAAGCACGCAGTCCTGCCCAGCCCTGCTCCCTAGGAACTGTCCCCTGCAGCCTTCCCGCCTCCCCATGGGCTGCCAGGCTAGGACCCCCCACAACACCAGCAGTTCGCAGAGGCTCTCCCCAGCTGGCTCTGCTCGTTTGAGCACTCTGGCCACGGTGTGCACTTTCCCTAGCGGCTGAATCCCTGGGTGTCCCCACGCTGTCCACCTATTCCTGGGCTCACCTCTGCAACCCAGAAACACTCGGGGTCGCTAAACAGTCCCTTCCTTCCGGACTCCAGGGCGCTAAGACAAGCACCACCCGGACCTGGGAGAGGAAGGAGGGGAGGGAAGGGATGGAGCCAAGGGGAGCGGACCTCAGTGCTCCTGGGCTATACTCTCATATTTTGTACCTGGAATCCTAACTCCTGAACCCTCTTCCCCAACACCCTCGTGAAAGCCTTTTGCCTAGCAGGGAAAGGAAGGGTAGACCAGCCCAGCGGTGGCCTAACAGGTCCCCCTGAGGTGGGCTGCTTCTCCAACTCCTCTGAGCTTCCCTTTCGCCATCCTTAAAGCAGGAAGCAAACCCACTCATGGAACCAATGAGATGTGAGTCCTGCCTCCACCTGTATCCCCGGTCCCATTACTTTGATCTCTTCCCTGCTCTCAGCCCCTCCTAGTCGCGCTGGTCCACACAGCTCTGCCCCTTCCTCTGCCACCTGCCAAACTCCTCCAGGCCCACCTCGGCACCTAGAGCCCCAGTCAAAAGGATAAATGGCAGCGCCGAGCCAGAAAGCCTTGCCTGGTTGGTTACCAGCAGAGAGGCAGAGATTCCAGAGGGGCAGCGCCTTACCTACACTCTGCCCTTTCCTGTGGGCTCCTGGGCTGGGAGTGTTGAGAATACGTGGGAGAGGGAGCCAGTGGTCACAGGTTAGTCACAGTCCCCAGCCGGGACCCTTGCCAGGTGCCTTCTCTAGTGTTTTTGAGCCCAGACATTAACAGCCTGATGGGCACAGAAACCCCAGGCCCAGAATCCCACCTGGGCCTCCCTCTGCCCTCCTTCACCTTCTCTGAGCTCCCTCGAACACTAAGCTACCTGCTAGAAAAGGCACTCCTCCATTTACCACAGTTCCAGCCCAGCCAGCTTCACTCAAGTGCGTGTACACACACACATGCACACACACACACCTGGACCCTACAAACATCGCCGCCCTAGCCCTAGACTGGGAGTGACAAGTCCTGCCTCCAAAGCTAGCATCTCACTGGCTTTGCAGACCTGGGTAACCACTGTGAACCTCAGCCCCTTTTTCTCTAATAGGAAGAATACCGACTTCACAGGCTGAGGACTGGGTGCACATCGTGGTTAAAGTACTGGGGTCATGGGGCAGTAACTGTGCCCACCTGGCAGCTCTGTCCCTGCACAGTCTCCGGGGGTTAGCGAGCAAGTGTTGGTGTTAGTGCTGTCACCCCACTGCTTGGTGAGGAAGTGGAGGTCAGTGGAAGAGCCGCCCCCGCGTGGCTCTGTGGACACCAATCTCCTCACCGCCTTCCCCACCCCGCCCTGCCTTGTCTCTTCAGTGACCAAGATCTGCGCGCAGTGTGAGATGGAGCACAGTGCCGACGGCCTCATGGAGCAGATGTGTTCCAGTGACTTTGGTGAGTTGAGGCCCAGCGGCCATTCCCTGATGCCACCCCAGCCCCTCTCCCTTGACCCACATCCAGCACCGTGAATCCTGACAGACCCCTTATAGAATCTGATGGCCAAAAACTCACGTAGCCATTTCTGCACATCTCAGCGGCTTCAGAAGCCCTCAAGGCCACGGTCCCTGAGCCTCCCAAACCGCTCTGGCCAGGGCTCCCGCAGCACTCCCTCGGCACTGTCCACAGAGGAACTCCTGTGGCTGGATGGTCTCTGGGGGGTGCAGGCTTGGCCCAGAGGTGGAGGAGATGGCAGGAGGGAGGGAAGGGCTCCAAATGGAAGCAAAGCTCCTCCACCAAGTATCCAGTGCCCTTGTCCCCACTGCTCCCCCTGCCTGGGACAAGCAAGCCAAGTCTAGTCAGGGCCTGGCTCATGCGTGGACCCATGTCCTGTGCATGACCTTGGCCAAATCAGTTCCCTGTTTTGTATCTTAGCCCCCATCTATAAGAGATAAGAGTGGAGTCCTGACTTCACAGGAGTCTTTTAAGTTGCTGGTCTGTTTGGAAAGAAACTGCATACTGCAAGTGTGAGAGAACACAAGAGATTTTAAGAGAATTTCCTGTCCTGAGTGGGCAAAGTCACTCTGTGGCTTCTCCCTGAAGAAGGGAGAGACTAGCCGAGGGGCTCTCCACACCTCCAAGCCCAGGGCTCCCGATCCCCGGCTATCCAAGGCTCTCAGCAGCCACCCCAAGGTGACTTGGACCCTGCCTTCATCCACCTCCCTCACATTCCTGGGACCGCAGAAACATACCACACACACACTCCCCTGTCACTGCGCAGTCACACACACACAACCTACCCCCTCCCCACAGTGGTCAAAATGCGCATCAAGGAGATCAAGCTAGAGAACGGGGACCGCAAGCTGATCGGAGCCCAGAAAAAGAAGAAGCTGCTGAAGCCAGGGCCCCTGAAGCGCAAGGACACCAAGAGGCTGGTGCTGCACATGAAGAATGGCGCGGGCTGCCCCTGCCCACAGCTGGACAGCCTGGCAGGCAGCTTCCTTGTCATGGGCCGCAAGGTGGACGGACAGCTGCTGCTCATGGCCGTCTACCGCTGGGACAAGAAGAATAAGGAGATGAAGTTCGCCGTCAAATTCATGTTCTCCTACCCCTGCTCCCTCTACTACCCCTTCTTCTACGGGGCCGCGGAGCCTCACTGAAGGGCACTCCTCCAGTCCCCCCCAGCCAGCTGTGCCTTGCCCTCTGTCCCCACCCCCACTCCCAGCTGCCCGGCCCTGCTGGAGGGTGGCTTCACGGCACAAGCCCCAGGGATGGCCTCCTTGATGGAGGGCTCCTGGATCCCCGGGGTTCTTGGGCTTCCTGTCTTAAGAGCTGCACTTTCTTGTGTGCAGGAACCCCCAGGGTCTAGGAAAGTAGGGAGGAAGAAAAGGTGAAAGAGCCCAGAGCAGCTGCGGTGGCTTCCAGTGTAGAGGTGGAGTCAGCTCTCCCATACTGGTGAAGAGGCGTCATCTTAGAGAAGCCGTAATTATTAGGCTGAGCTACCCCAAAATGTGTCCTCATTGCTGCCCCCAAAGAAAAGGAGTTAGGGTCTTGATGCCCTCCAGCCACACAACCCTGCCTTCCCATTAGCAAACTCCCCTACCCCAAAGCCAAGAGAGCTCCCTGCAGGACTGCAGAGCGGCCCGGCCTGGCCTCTGTACAGATGCCTCCCACAGGCTAGCTGCCCGGGGTCACTGCTCAGCTCCACACCCACCTCTGACCCTGTGGTAAGTTACTGCTTCAGCTCTGAGGCCATAGGTACCAGGTAACTGATACCGGTAGGGCTTGGCTCTCAATTTTTTAAGTTTTTAATTAAATCAAAGAAAACAACGGTTTGGACCAGGTGATTTTCTTTTTCTGCAGAGGTGGGGGAAAGGGAGATTCAGGACAGGCTTCTAGAAAGAGCCCACTGCCCGTCCACATAGACCGTTGCAGAACACCTGTTCCTACAGGATCCTTGAGAGCACATGATGAGGGCCACCCTCTCCTACCAAGAGTTGGGGATGGAAGTGACCATCCTTTTGCCTCTGAGAAAGGACAGAGGTGCCAAGTCCCCAGCCTGCACCAGCGGTCATAAGCCTCCCAGGGCCCTGCAGTGTCTCCCTCTTGTGGACACCACCTGGTCCGAGGAGTCAGGAAGGCTGGCCAGGGAACTGAAGAGCTGAGGCCAAGGAGGTGCCACTCCTTCCCTCCAGCTTTCAGACGCCCTGGACAACAGTCCTGACCCGCAAGCAGTGCAGGCTGAAGCCAGTGCTGTCCTACACACAGTCCCCGGACCAGCAGCCTGAGCACCTCCTGGGAGCTGGTCAGGGTCTCAGGGTGCACCTGGACCTGCTGTTATCAGGATCTGCATTAAACACATACACACTAGGCCATCTGGGGCTTTTACAAAATGCTGGCCACATACTAATGCAATTAAATCAGAACCTCTTTGGGCACCCAGAAATCAGTGTTTTCAGATGTTCCCTGATGTGCAGCCAGGGTCAAAACCCATGGTCTAGATAAGTTCACTGAGGAAGGAGAGGGACAGGGCTGAGGGGTCTCCAGTGGAAACCCGCATGTCAGCTGCCTCTGGCCCTTCTGGTCACAGCAGAGAGGTGGATAGGGCAGGGAGGCAAGAGGCCACGGCCCTCAAGTGGCCAGCACTTGAAAAGGGTGGTGCCAGGATGGCGCTCCCTTCAGGGGTCTGTCAGACATGCTGAGGGACAGGGCAAGTGAGCCCAGAGCAGGGGGTAGGGCACCCCAAGGTTTTCCTACCAGTGGGAGGGGCTGGGGTGCCAGGTCCCAGTAAGCCTGCTTCTGTTGAGGCAAGAAAAACCTGGGCTTCCATGACTGTTCCATGACTTGGGAGTGCGTCATCTCCAAAAACGCCAGAAGCCCGGACTCTGTCGTGGGGCCAGAGTCTCGCCAACAGGTGGTCTCACAGCCCACCCGTAAACCCCCGGGCAGACAGGTGGCCTCGCCACAGTCAGGAGCAGCAGAGACCTGTTTGTTTCTCCTCCCCCGAAGGGAAAGCCACTGCCACCCCCCTGGCCCAGACACAGCCCAGCTTCCCCTGGCTCCCTGAATCCACCCCTTGTCTCCCAGCCTCCCACCCTGACCAAATATTGACGGACACTTCTATGGTCAACCAGGACCAGGCATGATTTTTCCACTGAGCACACAGGGCTGGGACCACGGCTGGATGAAGTACAATACTGACCTCTGTCAGGTGCTGGCAGAGACAGGAGTGGCGTGGGGGGAAGGGGCTCCCTTAGCCCACCCCATGACATCCGGTAAGGTACTCCTCACAAATGGGGTCTCCGCACAGCCACACTGCCCTCCAGCATCTCCTGCCAGACCCCACCACCACAAATCTCTTTTCCAGGACCAGCGATCCTCCCAAAGATGAGGGAAGCCCTGCAAGGCCCTCCATCCCCCTCCCCCTCCCCCTCCTTCCCTTCCCAGTGCACTATCCACCCTTATCCACCCTAGCTAGCCAACCAGGAGCCACTGCTCAGTCTCTGCACCTCGGCGATCACCAACCACACAGATAGAAGCCCCAAGTAAGAGTGGGAACCTCTCCATGCCAGAGGTCTGGAGGTGGACAAGTGGGAGGTCCGTGTCCCGACCCCTCTTGCCAGCTTTTGTTTTGGGTTACAGAGGGTGCTCCCCCTCCCACCTTCACCACATTCCAGGAGGCTCCCGGGAAAGGCTAAGAGCAAAACCCGCTTGTCAGCTGCCTCTGGCCCTTTTGATCAGGAAAACAGTAATTTCCCACCCAGTCCCACCTGGTAGATTTCCACGTCTAGCTCACTGGCCAGAACGAAGTCACATGGCAGAGAGCACAGGAAGTCAAGTTTTTCAGCTGGGTACAAAATCCAAGTTCTAAAAGAACAGAAAGGGTTTGGGGGCAGGCAGCCCAATACTCAGGGTTGGGGTGAGCAGAGGAAGCACAGCTCGCCTGCCTTCCAGTCCCAGCCCTCAGTGACTGAGTGACACCACCCAGCTACAAAGCAGAGTGACAAAATCTACTTTCCCACAGCTCAGCAGTGCGAGTTGGGAATCAGTGTGTAACATTTAGAAGATATTCATTAAGTGGCATTTTATCTTTTTATTAACCAAAAGCTATGACCCAGCAGTGCCTGCACAAAGTAGGTCCTCAGCAAATTCTTGACTCACAAGTCAATGAACACCACTGGTAGGCTGACAGGGAAAGAGAGCAGCACCTTATCCAAAAGCCAAAAAGATTTCTTTCAGAGGGGAGCTAGATGGCGCTTGCATTGTGGTGTAGCAGATAAAGCTGCTGCCTGTGATGTCGGCATCCTATACAGGTGCCAGTTTATGTCCCAGCTGCTCCACTTCTGATCCAGATCCCTTCTAATGGCCTGGGAAAAGTAGAAGATGGCCCAAGTGCTTGGGCCCCTACCACTCACATGAGAGACCATGAGAAGAAGCTGCTGACTCCAGCCTGGCCCAGCCCTGGCCATTGCAGCCACTGGGGAGTGAACCAGCAGATGAAACACCTGTCTCTCTCTGTAGCTCTTCCAAATACATAAATAAATCTTTATGGGGTGGGGGGGGCACTAGAGTCTACATTTGGGATTCCCACGTGGTGTGAGCTGATACTGGGGAGAAGACACACAACACAGGTAGTCAGTACCTGTCAAGGCCATGCTGGCTGGCAGGCATGATTCAGAGCACTTTCCCAATAGCCCTTTGAGGCGGAGGCATTTTCATGATGGCGGCTGAGGCCCAGAGAAGTTAAGAACTTGCTGGAGGTCAGAGTTCACAATGGAGCTAGCAGCTGACCTCATGCTCTTAACCACTACATCACTGGCTGCAGGGGCAAGGCCCAGGCCTATGGGTCGGGCAGCCATACCTCTGCCAACCTGCATCCCTGGAAGATTTCTGGGAGCCCTGCCTAGTCCCCTTCCAAGGACTCTGAGAGAGACAGGGGAGCCGGTGGCTTTTCTCCCAATTCCCAGAGACCGCCCACCCCCAACTTCTCCTCCACTCAGCCCACCAGCTCTAGCTTGTTTAGTCCCCACAAAGGAAGCTCACATCCCACAACTGTTTAGTCGGCTGTAATCCTGGCTAAAGTTCACTCCCGGAGAAATCTAACCCCGGGGGTGAGGGCGGCGGTGGGGGCTGCTGCTGGAATGCATGTGGCTGGACCCAGCGTCCCAGCCCAGGCAGCCGACACTGCTGGGGCATGAGGCAAGAGGGCGGCCAAGGGAATCCGGAATCCCCAGCCCCCAGCTGTGCCAGAGAATGGAATGTGCTGCTCTGGGGTGCTGCAGGAACCCAGCCAGAGCAGGAGGTGGGGTGGCTGGGAGCTGGGGGGGTTGGGAAAAGCTCCTGGCACAAGGCTGCCTCTGTTCTCCTGGCCTGGGGATGGAGGGAGGGGAGCAGGGAGGTTGTCGAGGTGGCCAGCGCCTGCAGCCAGAGAAAACCAGGCAGCGCAGAGGGCATGACAGGCAGGGCGCTGGGCTCATCCCAAGGTTTCCCTTATGCGGTCTCCACTTGTGGCACGACTCACACACCGGCTTCCCGGCTCCATCACTGTGGCTAGGTTCTTGAGCCCTCCCACACCTCCCTCTACTCACGGGGGAGTAGTCAGGAGCTGTCAGGAGGAGGAAATGAGAATGCATCAGATGCTGCCTGGCCTCAGTGCTCCAGCAACCATTATTAGCCCGAGGGCCCCCAACTGTAGGAGACACTGGGCCTGGACCTTGAGGGGGCACCTCCAAGGTTCCAGAGACAAGGGGAAGCTAGAACTTCATCTGTCACAAACCTGAGGATCCCAGGAATCACTGCCAGCTCAGCGTCTGCCATGGGCTTACTGGAGGTTGCTCCACATACAAGCCATCCAGAAAGGGCGCACGGACTCTGATCCCAGGCAGGCTGTGGGCGCTGGAAGCCCAGGCCTGCCCCAACCAGCCCCAGTCGTACAGAACCTGGCCATCCAGCCCTCCCCTGAGTCTTGAGAACAGACTCTGCAACGCATCCAATTCTACAAGGGACAGGGTGCCCCCCAGGCCAGCCCATGTGCCGGTCCTATCCCGGCTGGTAAGCCACCAGCTGAGAAGCACTGCTTCATGCTGCCCACCCCAGTTACGGCTCACTCCCAGACAGCTCAAGCAGGCTAGGAGGCTGCTGATTGGAGAAGGAGGGTGGAAGCAGTGCCAGCGACTCCTGGTACAGTCAGTGTTTCACCATCATCAGGCATTGGTTCATTTTCCAAAAATAAAATGATACTGACCCTGCATTTTCAAACCACACTCCTGCTTCTCCCTGATACTCTTCTCCAACAAGCTCAAGTTCTTCCCTACTTGACAAAACAAACCCCTGCAGTCAGGCAGCCAGGGCAGAGCTGTGTGTTCCGCCCGAAGGCCATCAGGAGCATGTGTTTCTTGGGCACCTACAGTGTGCCGGGCGCTGTGCTCTACCTGGATCATCTCACTGAATCCTCACAGCAGCCCCAGAAAGCACTGCCACGCCCTCTGACAGATAAGGAAAGCCACACAGAAAGACCCCCAGGCAGCTCGCAAGGCAAAGCAGGGCCGTGCATCGGTGTAGCTGCTGGGGAGCACAGTGCCTGCCTCACGGGGCCGCGGCGAACACCAAAGGAGAGGTGCACCAGTGCTGGCCAGTGTCAGCCCAGAGCTGGGTTTCCACTGCCTGGCTCAGCAAATCCACTTCCCTGCAACCTCTAGGCTTCCTCAGGGCTGACTCTTTCTGGCTTTCTTGGAAGGATTTGCTAAGATCTTTCTTCTAAAGCCTGCACTGTTTAACACGTACCAACCTCAGCCCTCACAGTCGGGTCACAAGACAGTCTCAAGTCAATCCGACAAGCGTGCGCTCAGGCCCTCCTGCGTGCAAGGCGCAACCCCGCTCCTCCAGGAGGCTGGCACCCCAGCTATGGGAGAGCGGCAGCACAGGGATAGGACAAAATCCCAACAAGTATGAGGCCTTTTTATTGGTGATTCTCCACACACAGAGGGCCTCTCGGTTCCTCTCCAGTGTAAATTAAGTACAGGGTACTTAACTCTCATCTCAGAGCAGGACACAGAGGGTACACCCAGGGCCCCCGGCTCCCCAGGGACTGGCACCTCAGCTGCTGAGCCCTAAACCACGTGGCCTGATGAGAAAGCTGACCTTGTCTCCCAGCATTCCTGCCCAGGTCCCCCACGGAGTAGAAACAGCCGAGCAATCTGTGGATCCTGGGTCCCAGGCGGCCCGTGGCCACGGGGAGTCTCAGTAGAAGGCCCTAATTCTCCTCATCCCTTTCCTTGGCCGCATGTTCCCAGGAACCATCAAATAAATAAATAAATACTTCAGAAGGCAGGGCAGCTCCAGGGGAGGGACAGGCGCCTGAGCCAGCTCATGGCTTGCGTAGAGACGCTGGGCTCCTCAGAGTCCAGAAGTCAACGTGGACTTGTTGGAAAGAACAGAGGGACCCCCGCTGGGCTGATCCCATAACTCAGGCTATCCTCCAGGGAACAGCCCTGGAATCCAGGTCCCAGCCCAGCAAGTTCCCCCACTTCCCAGGCCTCTGAGGCTCAAGGGCTTCAGGATCTCTACTCCAGCCACCTGGCCTCGCAGTCCCTAGATGCGGGCTGAGGAAGGCTGCCCTGGACACCAGGGGGTGGGAGTGGTCAAGTGAGCGGAGCTGGGGACACCAGAGCACTGCTTGGGCTAAGACTGCAAGGTGGGGCTGAGGTCCTTCGAGCCGCCGGGATCTCCCGATGCTTTGCTCCATGTAACACAGAGTGACTCGGCCAGCCCCTCCCATACACATGCTCCTCTGGGGAGCTTGGGAACTGGAGCTGTTTCTAGAAGCCCTGCTGGTCCAGTTAGCCCTGGTCACACCCTCTGAAAGGGAAATGGTCAGATCCTGGCACCTGGGGGGACACTCACACAGCAGGGCTCGGGTGCAGCACTCCCAAGCCCTGTGCAGTTCCTCTGAGGCAGAGGGGAAGAGCCTCTTTCCCCAACCCCAGGTCTCCTAGAGTTCCCCGGTCTGGTGACCACAGCCAGATGGAGAGCAGGCCCAGCTCCCTGCTGCCCTCTAGTGGACACTCCTTGCCCAGCCCTGAGTGCACTAAGGCCAGGCAGAGAAGGACCAACAGCCAGGCCCACCAGGGGCTCCTTTCCCCTCAGGGTCTGAGCTCAGCCACTGTGGGCCAGGGCTGGAGACAGCAAGGGATGGAAGGGGAAGCCTACCGAGCATTCAGGACACATTTGCCCTGCACACCCCACAGGGGGCTGGGGAGAGGGGGAGTCTATTGCTGGCCCCAGGGAATGGCGGTGGCTGGTGCCTGGCCTCCCTTCTCACTTGCTCAAGGTCTGGTTACACGATGCACACACAAACACAGTCTCTCTTTGGGCTTCAGGGGCTGGAAAAAAGGAAGAATATGGTGAGCGGTCTGCTGGGGCCCTTTGGCTACCAGAACCACCCTCCCCAAAGCCCCACACAGACCACCCACGACCCGGCCCACCCCTCCCAACCCAGCTCTCTAGCCTGCCCTCATCAGACACCTCCTTCCAGGGGAACCTGGGGTGATGATGCCAACGCAGGCCTCTGCCAGGTGTTCTGTGCATTAGAAACTCTTTTGGCACTAACAGAACATCTTTTTAAAATGTTTTTTAAATAAAATACCAGAGGAAAATTTCCCAAAACGTTTTAACAGTGGTTATCTCTGGGTGGTAAGATTACAGGATTATTTTCTCTTCCTTCTTCTGTAGAGTAATTTCCAAATTTTCTAGTTAATAAGCATGTGCTACTTGCAAGATCAGAAGGGAAATGCACTTGGCTTTAACACTGTAACACAGTACAAAGCAGCATGTAAAACAGGACCCCAGCTTTCAAGAGCACGTACGCTTATCCCACAGGCACGCTAGGCAGCCTGCAGGGTCCACACCCGACCACTCTCTCTGGGAGAGATCAGGAATTATTTTTCTTTTGCTCATCTGCATTTTTTGTTCTGTTTCATTTACAACAAGCACGTGCAGCTTTATAAAAGGAAAAGAAGTGTGCTTAGTTTTGTTAAAACTGTTATCAAGGTAATGAGGAAAGGACTAAATTCAGGACAGTGGTTTCCTCTGGGGAAGGCAGGAATGAGAGGAGCTTGTGCTGCTCATGTTGTTTTTAACTGGTGAAGTGGTCAGGTGATTCATTTTGTTACTATAATTCTGCAGGTCACCAGGTGCTGTGTTTGTTAATGGATGGGGATGGGGGAGATGTCACTGCAGGCTTTGGACTAGGACTCCAGGTTCCCTTGACCTCTCATCCCTTTCCCACAATACAACCCCCCCTTAGAGGGGCAGGAAGAGCCAAGTCCCCCACTGCCCAGATGCCTGCCACCCCCACCACTCACCTGTGGCCCCCATGGAAGACTTGGGCACCTTGAAGGAGCAGCACCGAGAGCAAAAGCTGTTTCCACAGTTACTGCAGCTCCGCTGCAGACAAGAGCCAAGACCAGTGTCAAATGAAGCCCCCACCCCGGGCCTGGGGTCTCTAGCACCTCCCTCCTTTCCACCAGTTGACCCCATCCAAGGAAAGTGGAACTGGGGAGGCACCTACAAAGGGCAGGAGATCATGCAAAACACCTCATGGGACAGCTAGGGAAGGTGTGAGCAAGGGGATGAGGGAAGACAAACCCGCGTCAGCAAAGCAAGGATGCCAAGCCTCACCCACAGTCCCAAGCCCACTGTCCCGGCAAACCCAACCGCAGGGAGACTTACCCTCTTCTTCAGCACTGAGAAGGTAGCAGAGCAGCCTGTGCAGTTCCCTGAGAAACAAGGAAGCAACTCAGCCTTGGCCCAGGCCGGCCTCTCAATTCTTACCTGCCCCTGGCTTTCATGAATGGGACCACCAGGATGCCAGACTGGGCACAATGAGCAAGGGAGCCAAGTCCAGATTCTGAGCGAAAAGGAAGGACTCAAACTCAGAAGGAAAGACTGCCGGCCCCTGGGAAGTACTGTCGCCAGGCCATTCACAGCCGCTGGCCCTGAGTGCTCCTGGAGCTTAGCGGCCCACACGCAGGTTCGGCTGAGATCACAGAGCGCGCAGTAGGATCTCTCACCGGAAACCCGGCTAAGCTGGCAGGGACTGAAGAAAGCTGCCTGCCATGACTCCCTCCCAAGTGCCTCCTTACAAAATCCTAGACAGGGCAGAGGGCCCGGCATTGTGGCACAGCTAATTAAGCTAGTATTTCATATCGGTTTGAGTCCCAGTTACTCAGCTTCTAGTTCAGCTTCCTGCTAATGCACCTAGGAAGGCAGCAGATCATGGCCCAAGTATTTGGGCCCTGGCCACCCATGTGGAAGACCAGGATGGAGTTCCAGACTCCTAGCTTCTGCCTGGCCGTGCAGCTGGTGCAGCCATTTGGGGAGTGAACCAGCAGAAAGAAATTAATCTCCCTCTCTACCTTCCAAATACATAAATCTAAAAAAGAAAGAAAGAAAGAAAGAAAGAAAGAAAGAAAGAGAGAAAGAGAGAAAGAGAGAAAGAGAGAAAGAGAGAAAGAGAGAAAGAGAGAAAGAGAGAAAGAGAGAAAGAGAGAAAGAGAGAAAGAGAGAAAGAGAGAAAGAGAGAAAGAAAGAAGGAAAGAAGGAAAGAAGGAAAGAAGGAAGAAAGAAAGAAAGAAAGAAAGAAAGAAAGAAAGAAAGAAAGAAGGAAAGAAGGAAAGAAGGAAAGAAAGAAGGAAAGAAAGAAAGAAGGAAAGAAAGAAAGAAAGAAAGAAAGAAAGAAGGAAGGAAGGAAGGAAAGAAAGAAAGAAAGAAAGAAAGAAAGAAAGAAAGAAAGAAGGAAAGAAAGAAAGAAAGAAAGAAAGAAGGAAAGAAAGAAAGACAGAAAGACGGAAAGAAAGAAAGAAGGAAAGAAGGAAAGAAAGAAAGAAAGAAGGAAAGAAAGAAAGACAGAAAGAAAGAAAGAAAGAAAGAAAGAAAGAAAGAAAGAAAGAAGGAAAGAAGGAAAGAAAGAAGGAAAGAAAGAAGGAAAGAAAGAAGGAAAGAAAGAAGGAAAGAAAGAAAAGAAAGAAAAGAAAAGGAAAGAAAGAAAGAAAGAAAGAAAGAAAGAAAGGAAAGAAAGAAAGAAAGAAAGAAAGAAAGAAAAGAAAGAAAGAAAGAAAGAAAAGAAAAGAAAGAAAGAAAGAAAAGAAAAGAAAGAAAGAAAGAAAGAAAGAAAGAAAGAAAGAAAGAAAGAAAGAAAGAAAAGAAAAGAAAAGAAAAGAAAAGAAAAGAAAAGAAAAGAAAAGAAAAGAAAAGAAAAGAAAAGAAAGAAAAGAGAATAAAAGAAAACTCGACAGGGAAGACAGAAATACCTCCTAAAAACCCAGATTTCTGCTTTCTGTCATCCGAACATTCCAAGGAAGAAGTTCAAAATCAGATACCTTCCAAAAAGACGTGAAGGACAGAACGCACAGGCCTGTGAGTAGCAGGTGGGAAGGAGAAGACAGCCGGGGAAAGGCTCAGCCCTGGGCTGGGTCTGGGCACTGTGGTCATTTGGGGAGTGAATCAGCAGATAGGGGTTCATTCTCTCTCTCTGCCTCTCAAAGAAATAAATGAAGATGGACAGGAGGAGGAAGGGGGTCTGTTAGAAGTTTGGAGACGACAGATGTTTCTACAAGGTGAGGACCAGAGGCCTCCTGATCACCTGTCTGGCCGGGAACAAAGCACTAGGCCCAAAGCTATGCTGACAACAACATGTGGTCCCTTCCTCTGTCCAGCCAGAATCACTGAAGGCAATTCCCTGGGTTCAAGGACAGACAGACCCCAGCTACACTTAGGGAAATGCAGACCCGTCGCTGTCTGTCAGACAGCTGAGGCCTAGCAGGGGACGGGGAGAAAAGAGCAGAGTCTGCCTCCTGGGGTGCCAAGGCAGGAAACCAGTGACTCGAAGCCTGCCCTCGCACTAAGGACTAGGGAAGGCAGACTGTCTGGACCTTCCCAAGCTAGGGGAGAAGAGAATGCAGTGGAGAAAGGGGCTACTCAAAAACAGCAGGCCAGCATCAGACTGCTGGGAACCGTACCCCTGTGGTCTGTTGAAAAGGCTGGGCCCCTTCACCCCGGCCTGGGGCCAGAGAGGAGTCTGCAACCTGACGTAGCTGACAGGCACTGGAAGAGAAGAATGCCTCTGTCCCCTCCAACATCAACCAACTCTTTAGGCCCCATTCTCAGCAAAGGCTCTGATTCCACCTCCCTAACTCACGGCACAGCACACAAGCTGAGAGCAAGGGGAGCCCGGGGCCCCATGGGACCTGCCAGGACAACGGTCACGGGCCTCCAGGACAGAGGGGGCCTCCCCGCAAGAGCCGTCCCACTGGGAGGCCACAGAGAAGCTCCTGCACAGCCTGCCCTGGTTCCTCCCATGCACATCCTCTTACCCACAGGCAGCAGGAAGGGAACAGCCCCGGAATGGTTCCCTCTCAACTTTTTTTAAAATATATTTATTTATTTATCTGAAAGGCAGACTTACAGAGGCAGACATAAGAGAGAAAGGTCTTCTCTCCACTGGTTCACTCCCCAAATGGCCACAATGGCCAGAACTGGGCCGATCCGAAGCCAGGAGCCAGAAGCTTCTTCTTGGTCTCCCACATGGGTGCAGGGGCCCAAGGACTTGGGTCATCTTCTACTGCTTTCCCAGGCCATAGCAGAAAGCTGGATTGGAAGTGGAGCAAACAGGACTCGAACTGGTGCCCATATGGGATGCCGGCACTGCAGGTGGCAGCTTTACCCACTACACCACCGCGCCAGCCCCTCAAACTCTTGAGTCTTAGTCTGCTCCAAGTGACGGCAGAGGAGGTTTAGCCTTTGGGAGGAGACCAGCAGGGGCTTCATGAATCGGATTAGTGCCTCTATAAGAAGTCTCAGAGCAACAGCCTGTTCCCAAACCCTGTGAGGATACAGCAAGTAGGCGACGTCCAAGACAGAGAGGAACACATTTCTAATGAAAAGCTTCCTGTTCAGTGTATTTTCTTATAGCAGCCCCTAAAGCAGCTCACCTCACCCTGGCGGGAAGGACACAGAGCCGGCTGCAGACGCCCAGTGGACAGAGCTGCTACCCCAAGGGGCTGGAGAACAGCTCCGGGCAGAATAAGTGAGCTGACAGGTGCGGGCTGGAGCTTAGGAGACGCAGCGTTTGCTGCCCTTGACGTCCTCCAGGGAACCCGAAAGGCCTCTGCCTGCCTTGGCAGATTTTCTGAACCAGAAACCAAATACAAAACAGGACAGATGGTGGGTGCTGCTGCTCAATAGGCTAATTCTCTGCCTGCGGCACCGGCACACCGGGTTCTAGTCCCAGTCAGGGCGCCAGATTCTGTCCGGTCGCTCCTCTTCCTGTCCAGCTCTCTGCTGTGGCCCAGGAGGGCAGTGGAGGATGGCCCAAGTGCTTGGGCCCTGCACCCACATGGGAGACCAGGAGAAGCACCTGGCTCCTGGCTTCGGATCAGCACAGTGCACCGGACGCAGCGCGCCGGCCGTGGCGGCCATTGGAGGGTGAACCAATGGCAAAGGAAGACCTTTCTCTCTGTCTCTCTCTCTCACTGTCCACTCTGTCAAAAAAAAAACAGGACAGACTTGAAACAAGAGGCTTCAGACCCCATGGTGAAGGGAAAGTGGAAAGAGGAGGACGATGAGGAGGCAGAAAGAGCAAAGGAACCAAATCGGATAACTGGATCTGAGCCCCAGCTCCACCATGTACTGGCTGAAGGATAGATCACTCCTTTCACCTCAGCTGCCATCTGCAAAATTTACTCAAAATGCAAAGATACAAGCAAATCCTTTGCTAGACCCAGAGTAATGATTCTGTGTAGTGTCACGTGGGACCTCTGGGACTTTGCTGCTCCAAGCTCCTAAGCACTGCTTGCTCCCATCGTACCCAGTCAAATGAGATCACGGACATGAAGAATGCACTGGGCACAGAGCACTCCAGGGCAGTCAGTGTCAGTGATCAGAGTAAGAGAAGGGAACCGGGGTCGGCGCTGTGGCACAGAGGGTTAAGGCACCACCTGCAACACATATGGACAATGGTTCGAGTCCTGGCTACTCTGCTTCCCATCCAGCTCCCTGCTAATGTACAGGGACAGAAACTGAAGTTGGCCCAAGTGCCTGGACCCCTGCCACACACATGGGAGACCAGATGGAGTTCCAGTTTCCTGGCTTCGGCATGGCCCAGCCTTGTCTGTTGTGGCCATTTAGGGAGTGTATCAGTAAATGGAAGATCGCTCTCTCTGTGACTCTGCCTTTCAAATAAATAAATAAATCTTTTTTAGAAAGAGACAGAGTGACAGAGAGAAGGGATCTGGAATGGCTGGGAGATGCTCACACGGCAGAAGGAAGCAGCACGTCCTGAGCAAACAACTGCCCTGGCTGCAGCAGGGGCAGGAAGCAGCCCCAGGAGGCCCTGGAGCAAACCCCTCAAGATGAACCCCAAAGACTTCTCCAGGCAGACCCCAGAGCTCACGCCACACCAGAAAACACAGTACAGCCCCTGCACTGCTCCATCAGCTGACCACTGGCAGAAGAGAGGCACCTCTCAGGACCAGGCCGGCTCCCGGATCACCAGCTACTCTAGGCTTCTGCCATAATTGTATCTGGCTCAGCTCCCGGTGCTCTTGATCCCAGCCAGGTGGCCAAGCTATGCTAACAGCCAAGTCTGCTCTTCTCTAAAGCTTCCCCAACAGGCTCCCAAAAGCCTGTAGGACAGCACTGGGCCTTGCATGTTAACACACCACTTACAGAATTTAACAACCCTATGGTGTAAGAACTACTATCCCCTTCTACAGAAAGGGAAATTGAGGCATGGACGTGAAATAGTTTGCTCAAGGTCACCACGAGAGCTCATTTTTCCCAGGCAGCGAGACTGCACTCCGTTCTCAGCGTTGTGCTCCACTGCCCTCCGCAGTTCTGTCTCGGAATCACAGCGCCGTGCGGGCCTGCGTGGCATTTCCCAAACCCAGCTCCCTGTCTTCCTGCAAACTCATGCTCAAGTAGGAAGAGAAAGAAGAACCCGTGCTCACTCCCTCAGTGGCCCACGTGGGCTTTGCCCATTTCCCAGCACCTCTGATTCCAAGACTCTTGCCCCGTGGCCAGTGTGCCCCCACAACCCCATCAGTCCTTCCTGGCCATTCCCGTCCGTACCGAAGTTGTTGGTAGGGTAGCGCTTGCGGAGCCGCTCCGTGAGCCGTGACACCTTGCTGCGCAGCACCTCATTCTTGCTCAGGAACCCGTTGTCCTGCAGGGCTAGCTCATCTTCCGCCGGGCACGGGGCTCCCTCGTCATCCTCCTGTGGGAACAGCTCCTTGCAGTCCTGCCCCCTCTTGGAATGCTCCAGGGCCTTCGTGCAGAGGCACCCCAGCACAGCAGATGCCACCAGGTGCAGCACAGCTGGCTCGGCCAGACCCCTGGCCTGGCACAGCACAGCACAGCCCAGCCCAGCACAGCACAGCACAGCCTCGCCCATCTCACCGACGCTCCTACTTACCAACACCACCAAATGGGTCTCCTGCCTCCCAAGGTGCAGGGGAGAAGGAGAGAAAACAGAGAGATAGCAGGAAGAAAGAAGTTGCTGCAGGGAGGCCTCCAGAAAAAGGAACCACAGAAGTGACAGTCCACATCCTGAGTCCTCCCAAAGGCAGATATTAATAGATACCCCCAATGAAGACACTTGGAAAACCCTACGCACCACCATCTTACAAACTGGACGAAATCAACTTAGTGATTCATTTGAAAAGAGAACAGAGTAGGAAAGAAAATCTTACAATTTATTTTCAGGAAACTTTTATTTCTCTTAGGTTTTATAAACCTAAGAGTGAACTGGGTCAAGATGCAAAATGTGTTCCTTACTGTGGGTCATGAACAAAAATGCTTGAACAGGACCAGCACTGCAGCCCAACAGGGAAGCTGCCCTTGCAACGCTGGCATCCCACACTGGAGTAACAGTTCTGAGTCCTGGCTACCCAGCTTCCTGCTAATGCACCTGGGAAGGAAGCCGAAGATGGCCCAAGTCCTTGGGCTCCTGCCATCCACATGGGAGACCAGGACAGAATTCCTGGCTTCTGGCTTCAGCCTGGCCCAGTCCTAGCTATTGCAGCCATTTGGAGAGTGAACCAATGAATGTAAGATCTTTCTCCCTCTCCCTCTCTCCTTCCCCTCCCCCTCTCCCTTGCCTTTTCAAATAAAACAAAAAAAAATTTTTTTTTGACAGACAGAGTTAGACAGTGAGAGAGAGACAGAGACAGAGAGAAAGGTCTTCCTTTCCATTGGTTCACCCCCAAATGGCCACTATGGCCGGCGTGCTACGCCAATCAGAAGCCAGAAGCCAGGAGCTTCCTCCTGGTCTCCCATACGGGTGCAGGGCCCAAGCACTTGGGCCATCCTCCACTGCCTTCCCAGGCCACAGTAGAGGGCTGGACTAGAAGAGGAGCAACTGGGACAGAATCCGGCACCCCAAGTGGGACTAGAACCCAGGGTGCCGGCGCCGCAGGTGGAAGATTAGCTATGAGCCGCAGCACCGGCCTAAAAACAAAATGTTTTAAAACAAATGTCTCTCCCTCTCTATCTGTAACTCCACCTTTCAAATAAATACATATTTTTTTAAATGCTTGAAGGTCCCTGCTATATATATCTCCCCTCTCTCCCAGAATCACAGTCTACAACTGATCATCAAAATTTTGGAGAAATCGAGCCAGCGCCGCAGCTCACTAGGCTAATCCTCCGCCTTGCGGCGCCAGCACACCGGGTTCTAGTCCCAGTCGGGGTGCCGAATTCTGTCCCGGTTGCCCCTCTTCCAGGCCAGCTCTCTGCTGTGGCCAGGGAGTGCAGTGGAGGATGGCCCAAGTGCTTGGGCCCTGCACCCCATGGGAGACCAGGAGAAGCACCTGGCTCCTGCCTTTGGATCAGCGCGGTACGCCGGCCGCAGCGTGCTGGCCGTGGCGGCCATTGGAGGGTGAACCAACGGCAAAAGGAAGACCTTTCTCTCTGTCTCTCTCTCACTGTCCACTCTGGCTGTCAAAAAAAAAAAAAATTTTTTTTTGGAGAATTCTTTTACTCGTCAAAACTTCAGGGACCAGTGCCGTGGCACAGTGGGTGAAGTTGCCACCAGCGGTACTACCATCCAATATGGGTGCCAGTTCGAGTCCTGGCTCCACTTCCAATCCAGCTCCCTGCTAACATGCCTGGGAAAGCAGTGGAAGATGGCCCAAGTGCTTGGGTCCCTGCACCCATGTGGGAGACCTTGAAGAAGCTCCTGGCTCCTGGCTCCTGGTTCCTGGCTCCTGGCTCCCGATCACTGCAGCTCCAGTCATTGTGGCCATCTGGGGAGTGAATCAGCAGATGAGAAGATTCTCTCTCTCTCCCTGTCTCTCTCTCTGACTCTCCTCTGTAGCTCTTTCAAATAAATAAATAAATAAATCTTAAAAAAAGAGGAAACTTCAAATGCTCCAGGGACAGAGCTGATGGAATAGTGCCGCAGGCCAGATCTTAATTTCTTACTTCACAGAGGCATAAGGAAAAAGGATTTCCTACTCTAAAAAAACAATAGTGCAAACGTGACAACAAAACCACCACCACTAGACTGCAGTGACTGGAGGGACAGGGTGTGAGGGGACCATGTGTAAGCACAGCAAATGACTTAGCAAAAGGAAACAGGCGCTCCTCAGCTGTGCAGGCTGCTGCAGACTCAGGGCTACCAAGAAACTGAAAATCTAGAATTCTAACCTAAATATCCCCATGTTTCAACACTGGCTCATTACTAGAGGAAGTGTGGGTAGGGTAGGAAGAATCATTATGTTCTTAAAACTGTATCTATGAAATACATGAAATTTATTCCCTTTATATAAATTCAAAAAAATTTTTAATTACTTTAAAACTTTACATGCCAAATAAAACACTTCTGCAGACTATCACTTTGAACCACTGTCCTAAAATCAAGATAGCTATTTAACTTCCCCTGACCTTAGTCATGAGCACTTGGTAATGAGCCAATTTCTCTCTTTTTTTTTTATTTTTATTTATTTATTTATTTATTTATTTATTTTTGACAGGCAGAGTTGATAGTGAGTGAGAGAGACAGAGAGAAAGGTCTTCCTTTTGCCGTTGGTTCACCCTCCAATGGCCGCCGCAGCCGGCGCACTGAGGCCGGCGCACCACGCTGATCCAATGGCAGGAGCCAGGTACTTATCCTGGTCTCCCACGGGGTGCAGGGCCCAAGCACTTGGGCCATCCTCCACTGCACTCCCAAAAGGGACATCTTACAGTGCTCACTCTGCAGAAGCAAAGAAAAGTAAGGCAGTAGTCTCCTGCAAATCTGCCTTCCCTGCCTCAAAGACACCAGGCCCACTGTTTCCAGCAAAGGTGGGACAACTCCCAGCCCAAGCGCTTCCCAAAGGCCTCAGCACCATCAAGGGCTGACCAGACTGGCAACAGGAGAGGATACGGTCAGTGGCACCCTTTGAACCAGTGAATTCTAGCTCAAAGTAAGTTTGAGCTTCTCATTTGGACATAAGAGAATAAAAACTCCTCAGCTCCAGGGCCACCCAACTTCTGGCCTGGTTGGTTGAGAGTGATAGGAAAGGGCCACCCACCTCAATCGCGTCTTTAAACTCCTCATCTGGCTCCGCCTCTTCAGCCTCCTCCACGCTGCCTGGCGTGAGGTCCTGAGAGAAAAGATCCTATGACAGGAGAAGGATGGCAGCCCTGTCCCTGAGGCAGAGGGTCACCTCCTCTAAGCTGGCATCCAGGCTCCCCAAACACCTGTTCCCACCCCACAGGGAGTGGTGCAACTGTAGCAAAAAGGAAGTCACAGGAAACAGAGCAAGCTCTACCTAGCAGGGATAGGGAGATGGGATGAGACCACACTGGACCAACAGTGGCTTTACAGCAAGCATAGTGGCTGGGCACAGGCTCCAGAACACAGGGCCTGGCCCTGAGGTTGCGGGCAGCCACTCAGCCTTCTCCTCTGCAATGAGAATAATCCCATTGTCAGAGACACCTACAGTCCACGTGTTACTAACCATCAGGTATGCGGAGCAGCATCGGTTTAGGTTACAATTATTACTGTCGGGCACTCAGAGATCAGAACCACATGGCGTAAGTAAGCGGGGACCGGACAGCACTTACGGCCGGGGCACTTACCTCCGTGGGCGTAGGGGCGGGCGTGCTGTCCAGCAGAGCAGCCTTCCCCGCAGCATCTGGTGGGGGCAGACTCTGGGGAGCAGGGTCCTCCTGCCTGGGGTGCATCCACCGCTGCAGAGATGCTCTGTACTCAGACACCACTACGCGGAGCAAGAACGGGCGGGAGGCAGACACGAGGCGGAATGAGCGGTGCTGCGCAAGTGCTCGCCTCCACAGCTGGCCGGCCCGCCCCGCAGCACCCACCCTCGGCTGCAGGGCAAGTCACCCTCCTCACTCCGAGCACGTCACAAACCTAAGCTTCATGAATGAAACAGACACGACCACCTACCTCAGACTGCCTAGAGTATCACGTGAGAACTGCTCAATCAATGATGGCTTCTAAAATTAATTACCACAAGGAGGAAAACAAACACAGCAACTTGGGTTGGCAGTGTGGTGCAGCAGGTTAAGTCATCAATTGTGATGCATGCATCCCATGCCAGAGCGCCAATTCGAGTCCTGGCTACACCGCTTCCAGTCCAGCTCCCTGCTAATGCGCTAGGGAGAGCAGTGAATGATGGCTCAAGTACTTGGGTCTCTGCCACCATGTGGGAGACCTGGATGGAGTTCCAGGCTCCCGGTTTCAGCCTGGCCCATCTTGGGAGTGAACCAGAGAATGGAAGATCTCTTTCTCTGTCACTCCATCTTTCAAATAAATAATCAAATAATTCTGACATACATATGTATACAACAACCGCCCAAGTATATGCAGTGGCCCAGGCCCTATGACTCAAAAGCCCCTTCCCACTTTAGAAGCCAGATTGCAGCTGGGCACTCTGGGATCACACACCAATGTAGCAGTAACCACAGGTACAGCCTGGGGGACAGGTGGCAGCTTTGGGAGAGCCACCATTTCATGTAAGTTGTGATTTTTTTTATCCACCTGGGGAAGGGTGAGGGGACTCCTACAGTAGCAGCCTCCCCTGATATGATGTCAATATCCCCTAACATCACAGAGAAGCGGGAGAGAACCCTCCAAGGAAGGACTGGTGACGTGTTCCACACAGCAAATAGACGATGAACCCGAGAGCTCAGGCAGCTCTCCAGCTCTCTAGGACTTACCTCGGAAGAACTCCACATTCCCCAGAAAGAGTGTGCTGTTTAAAAGGGCAAAGACCCAGCAGAGCGGCAGCAGATACAACATGCAAACTGTGCCCAAAAGAGCTCCATAGAACCTGGGGAAGAACCATAGGGTGGGAAATCCTTACAATCAGAAGGAAACAGGTTCAGAGACAGCCACAGAGAGACCAGGGAAGAAACAGCTCTGGGCCTGGAAGTAAACCACTGAGACCTGCCAATCAAATAAGGTGCAAACAGTGATGAGGACACACTGAGAACTACCACCAAGTCACTGGCTGCTGCCACGGGTGAGGCCAAGGCAGTGTCTGCGGCTGGGGGCAGCAAAGTGGCTCAATGGTCATCACTCCTCAGCATCCACACTCTGAAGTCCTGACACAGACTAGGATTTAAATCTAGCTCTGCCACTTCTCACTGTGGCAAGTCCTTGGTTCTCCAAGCACCAGTTCTTTCATGGATAAAATGGAGATGAAGACAGTGCTGAGCTCACAGGGTTACTACAGAGTAAGACAACACACAGAAAGTATTGAGGGGCTGGTGCTGTGATGTAACAGGTAAAGCCACCGCCTGCAATGCTGGTATCCCACATGGGCACCGTTTGAGTCCTGGCTGCTCCACTTCCAATCCAGCTCCCTGTTAATGGCCTGGGAAAGCAGCGGAAGATGGACCAAATGCTCGGGCCCCTACACCCACAAAGGAGACACAGAAGAAGCACCTGGCTCCTGGCTTCAGACCAGCCCAGCTCCAGCCCTCGCAGCAATTCGGGGAGTGAACCAGCATATTGAAAATTTCTCTCTTTCTTTCTCTAATTCTGACTTTCAAGTAAATAAATAAATCTTTTTTAAAAAATTTGTTCTAAGAAGAAATTTTTGAAAAACTAAAGCTCAATCCATAAAAATGCTCAATACAGGGTTAATAATGAAAAGAACTGACTAAACCTGTAACAGAACGGTTCCATAAATTATATTTGCTGAATATTACTCGTTTTGTCTTGTTTTGTTTTGTTTCTTTTTGACAAGCAGAGTGGACAGTGAGAGAGAGAGAGACAGAGAGAAAGGTCTTCCTTTTGCCGTTGGTTCACCCTCCAATGGCCACCGCAGCCGGCGCGCTGAGGCCGGCGCACCGCGCGCACCGCACTGATCCAATGGCAGGAGCCAGGTGCTTCTCCTGGTCTCCCATGGGGTGCAGGGCCCAAGCACTTGGGCCATCCTCCACTGCACCCCCTGGCCACAGCAGAGAGCTGGCCTGGAAGAGGGGCAACCAGGACAGAATCCGGCGCCCCGACCGGGACTAGAACCCGGTGTGCCGGCGCCACAAGGCGGAGGATTAGCCTAGTGAGCTGTGGCGCTGGCCCGTGAATATTACTCTAATATTAAAAATAATTCCAAAGGAAAAGGCAACAAGGAAAACCATTTATCAGTAAAACAAAAAAAATACCACAGTATGAAACTATCCATATGAAAGACTGATACATATATAAATATGTACATATACAAAACCAATTCTACAAGGCAAGCCAAACATGAGATCAGGGTGGTAGATTACATAGTGAGTTTAATAGTATTAAAATATTATTATGCATATAAAAGCAAGCACCTAAACAAAAACCCACCACCTTAGAGCCTACAAGATACATGCAGATCTACATCCAACTGTCTAGGAGGCACCCTCCCCTTAGACAGGAAGCTGGTTTGGCTTGAGGCTCAAGCCACAAATTCCTGCATGGCAGTGGAGGTATAAGAGAGGGACTACTCACTGTGAGGACACCACAGGGTTCTCCCAGTGAAGCACGCGGTGGGCAGCTTCGCAGGTGCAGCACAGGCGGCTCAGGAAGGCCTCCAGCTGGATCAAGCTGCAGATACAGGGGCATGTGTGAGTAGGCAGGCCCCGCCCCACCCGCACACCAGGAAGGACAGACGCTGTGGGCAAGCAGAGCCCAGAACCTCGCAGGCTCAGCTGGCTAGGGATGGTTCTAGAGAGCACAGGAGGAAAGAGCCTGGCCACGCCACTACACTCATGTTTCCGTCCCGTTACGGAGCCTCTTCCTGCGGTACGACGACTCTGAGGTCCCTGCTCTGCGCTCCTGCCAGCTGCTCATGCTAAGTGTTCCGGGGCTGCAGTTTCCTAATCGATCAGAGGAGGATCAGGTGCCACCCTACAGGTACACAGCCGCTGCAGGCCAGGTGGCAGGACGTACATCAATGTCCTCCACCTACAACACACAGCAGACGCACTGGGGAGGCTTTTTTTTCTTTAAATACAGATGCACCCCACAAGCCATGAGCTCATCTTGTACCCACATGCGGATTTCTGAAGAGCTCTTTGGAAAAATGGTTGCTTCGAGGGCTGGCACAAGGAAGATGTAAGGTGCGCTGGAATAACCTGCTGTACCACAAAGTCAGGATGCACTTAGAAAGGACAGGGACATATCTGTGACTTCATACTAAATAAGTTCGTACTAAATAAATAAGATGGGTGGACATCTGGCCTACAGTTAAGTCACTAGTTAGGATGCCCATATGCCATATCACAGTTCCTGAGTTCAAGTCTCAGCACCACTATTGATTCCAGCCTCCTGCTAATGCACATGCTGGGAGGCACCAGGTGATGGCTCAAGTAACTGGGTTCCTGCCGCCCATGTAAATGACCTGGGTTGAGTTCTGAGTTCCCAGTTTTAGTGTTGCTCAGCCATTGCAAGCATTCAGGGAATGAACCAGCAGGTGGAATCTCTCTTAAATAAAACGTTTTTAAAATAAATAAGAAAGACGTTGTTCTAAAGCCAGCTAATAAATGTAGATGGGATGACAATGAGAAAATCAGCTTTGCAACCATCACAGTAATAAACTGATTAAGGCGAGGTCACTGGACCTTAACACACTGGGGGAATAAGGAACAAGATAGTCACACAGTCTCCAAAGATCTCCCCTCTGACCACCAACAGTGAAGGGTAAAATGATCATTTACAGTGGTGAAACCTTCACTAAACAGACAGCTGGTATTTCCTGGTATCATCTGCCTGCTGATTGGACACATTACAATGCATCCCACCTGTCATATTACTGCCCCAAATGCACAGCCTGAATCTCATTACAAGGAATCAACAACCCAAAATTGAGGGAAATTCTATAAATAAGCTTGAACTATGACAAAATGTCAAGGTCATGAGAAACAAAGACTGAGGAATTGCCTCAGGTTAAAGGAGACTGAGGAGACATAAAAGCCAACACAGGGGCCAGCACTGTGGTTAAGCCTCCGCCCGTGGTGCCGGCATCCCGTGTGGGTGCTGATTCCTGTCCCATACGCTCCTCTTCCGATCCAGCTCTCTGCTGTGGCCTGGGAAAGCAGTGGGAGATGGCCCAAAAGCTTGGGCCCCTGCACCCACGTGGGATACTCAGAAGAAGCTCCTGGTTCCTGGCTTCAGATCAGCCCAGCTCCGGCAATTGTGACTATTCGGGGAGTGAACCAGCAGATGGAAGACCTCTCTCTCTGCTTTTCTCTCTATGTAACTCTGCCTCTCTAATAAATAAATAAATCTTAAAAAAAAAAAAAAAAAAAAAGAAGAAGCCAATGTAGGGTCGGTTTTCTGGTGCAGCAGGGTAAGCTGCCTACAACACCAGCTTCCCACACAGGTGCCGGTTCAAGTCCCAGCTGCTCTACTTCTGATCCAACTCCCTGCTAATGCGTCTAGGAAAGCAGCAGAAGACAGCCCAACTTGTGTGGGTCCCTGCCACTCATATGGGAGACCAGGATGGACTTCCAGGCTCCTAGCTTCAGCCTAGACTAGCCCCGAACATTTTGGCCACTTGGGGAGTGAACCAGAGGATGGATAATCTCTAACTCTACTTTTCAAATAAATAAAATAAATCTTTAAAAAAAAAAAAGAAAAGAAAAGCCAATGTAATGTACAAACCTGGATTGGATACGGGAATCAGGGAAAACTGATCTAACAAATTTCATCAATATAACTGGTAAACTTTCATTGTGAACTACATGTTAGATAACAGTACTAATGCTATCAATGTCAAATATCCCAGTTTTGATTACAGTACTGTGGATACATAAGAGAATGTCCCCGTTCTTAGGAATATACACTGAAGTACTCATGGCAAACAGGCATGAGATTTGCAACTTACATTCAAATGGTCTAAGGAAAAAAACAAAAAACACATACATGGAGAGAGCCTGCTAAAGCCCAAGCGGCCAACGTTCATTGTCCTATCAGGATAAAGCACATATGGGCATTCTCTGCATCACTTCTGTAAGTGGAAAATTATTTCAAAGTTAAAGTTTTTTCCTAAAGCAAGATGCCCAGACCAGAAGACTCCAGTTCTGGGGCAGGGTCCAGGTGTGTTTGTTTACAACTTTTTTTTTTTTTTTTTTTTTTTTGACAGGCAGAGTGGACAGTGAGAGAGAGACAGAGAGAAAGGTCTTCCTTTTGCCGTGTTTACAACTATTTTCAACCCCTGCTGCACAGGCCCAGTCCAGGGAAGGGCTCGGTAACTGCCAGCAACCACTGACGCTGTGACAGTTATTGACAGTTAACACTGCTCAGCAGCCTCAAGACGCTTCCTCCAAGAAGCAGCTCAGCAAACTGAGGGAGCGTCTCCAGAGCAGCAATCGTGACTACACGGACTGGCACTTCCTTCCAGACAGCTCGTCCTACGAGCAAGCCCCACTGTCACCCCGTTTAACACAGGAGGAACCTGCGGGAAACAGAGGCCAAGCCACTTGTCCAAAATGACACAGCAAGTAAATGAAAGAGCTGGGGTTTGAGCCCAGGTAGCGGCCCACACATGCACATGCTTGGTTAAGACCCCAGCCCGTCTCTTGAACAGAAAGAACTAAAGCTGCGAAATCGGGTGGACCTGGATGGTCAACCCCACTTGGTTACTTTCTAGCTACGTCAGCCAGAATTTCTCTTCATCCATGAATGCTACCAAGCCTGAACAAAGTAACGTCAGTGGTATGCCCGCCCCTCTGTCCGGAACACAGCAGTGCTGCGCCGGGTGGCCACTGCGACTGCTGTGCTGGGCTAATCCCCACCTCCCAGGCCTCTCTCCCATACTCACAAGCTCTTCACCTCAGCCACAGCCTCGGGGCGAGAGAGGCGCACCCTCTGCAGGTCCTCCTGCCTCACGCTGTGATACTTCCTCCGCATCAGCTCCGACTCAGGCAGCCGGGCTCGGCAGACCTCCTGAAGGTAGCCCAGCAGGGCTGGCACGGAAATCATCAAGGCACCCACCGAGTACCACGCACCTACGGGATTCAAGAACACTGCAGGTAGCACAGAGGAGCCTGCCTGCCCACGTGTCCACATGCTCACTCCCCCATCTCCTCCAGGGCTCTGTCCAAGAGGCCCTCCCCGGACACTGGAGGACACAGCCCACTCTCCAGCCGCCTCAAACAGCTTTACTTTTCCTCACAGACCTTGTCACCACACGACACATGACACATCACAGGGACGGTAACAAGTTGGGGGCTGAGACTTCGTCATTTGGTCACCTCTAGTCAGAGCCCCCAGTGACCGACCCTGGGACCTCAGAGCCACGAGGGCAGACCGGAAGCCTTTCATGTGGTGTTCAGGAGACCACAGGGCACTGCGCAGTGAGGCGGAGATAAATTCGAAGGCAGCGCTTGTTGCCTGTAACGTGCTACCCGACAGCAAGCCGACAGAGCGGTGGCCACACAAATGCTGGGGAAACGCCTATCATGTGAACTGACTCACTCCGGAAATGAACTCAGAAGAAAATCTAACCTTCGGGGAAGGTCTGTCTGTCTGAAAGGCAGAGTCACAGAGAAAGAGAGAGTGCACTCTGGGAAGCTTTGATCAGGCAAAGAGTCCAACCAAGAAACAGGATGTGATCTTGGGTGGACTGGGTTTACTTTTTTTTTTTTTTTTAATTTGTGTTCATATTCTCTCTGAATTGACAGGCATAATTAGAGAGAGAGACAAAGAGAAAGGTCTTTCTTTTTCTGTTGGATCACCCCCAAATGGCCGCGATGGTTGGCGCGCTGTGGCTGGTGTGCTGTGCCGATCCGAAGCCAGGAGCCAGGTGCTTCCTCCTGGTCTCCCATGCGGGTGCAGGGCCCAAGTACTTGGGCCATCCTCCACTGCACTCCCGGGCCATAGCAGAGAGCTGGACTGGAAGAGGAGCAAATGGGACAGAATCCGGGACTAGAACCCAGAGTGCCAGCGCCGCAGGCGTAGGATTAGCCTAGTGAGCCACAGCGCCAGCCTGGGTTTACTTTCAAACCACTGAGTCCATGTCTCCATAGGAAACGAAGGGGACACTTGAGAAAGACCAGTTCAACCTAAGACAGGATACGTAGACAAAGGTCGGGCTCCTCAGAACATCCTGCCCCAGACCGACCACTCATTTCCCCAGAGGGCTGGCTTTTCACTGTAGCCACCTGCCGGTTCCTGCCAGGAAAAGGACTGGGCAGAGCCCACATTGTAACAGGAGGTCCACAGGGGACACCAGCACCCAGGCCCCTACAGACACCCTCGGGTCCACACTTCCACCTCAAAGGCTTCCCGCCGCTCCTCACGGCTGGTGACTGCCCAGCAGTCCCCTCTGGCCTCTCTGAATCAGAGACAGTCAACAGATTTACCAAAGACTCCCCATCAGCTCACCTTCCCACACCCTTGGCCCACGCATGTCCCCAAATGGCCCCTGTATCAGCGTGGAAGCCAAAATGGAAAAAGGTCAGTGTCCTAGCATCAGTCAAGAAGCAAGTGCTATTACAACAACAGTGACAATAATGGGAGCTGTACCGTGTGGGCTGCTCCCGTGTCTCACCCGCCCAGATGCCCTAGGAGGAAAGCCCGTTAGTACCCTCCCCCAGAGATGAGGAAAAGCAGGCAGGCCTTCACGGACACGTTCAATTACCTGCCCAAGGGCACTCCGGCAGCTCGCTGGCCTGTGCTCTCTGAAGCCCGCTCTGCCGCCAAGCAGACACAGAGCAGCCGCCTCCAGGGCAAGGACGGGGCTCCCCCGGGCAGGGCTGCCACTCGGTATGTTCACTCCCACAGCCCGCTGACCCCTGGCAGCAGTGCTTACCCGCATTCAAGGTGAGGAACAGGATGTTGAGGCCCAGGCAAGTCAGCAAGGAACACAGAGGCATCTGCCACCTGCAACACAGAGAGTCCCGATCACCAGCCAGCCACCCCTCCAGCTGGGAGGGAGCAGGGGCAGCACAGCCCAGGACGGGACATCCAGACCAGGACGGGAGGAGGCCTGGGACACACTGGACAAAGAAGGGATGAAACGAGGGCCTCTCCCTCAGGCGAGCAGCCAGGAGTCCAGAACTCCACACATTAACGAAACGATCTGATAGAACGTTCTCCTACAGGGAGAAGAATGCACCAAGTATCTGTTGAGAAAGCCAGCAAATACTGTTGGAATGTGCGTTCTGTAAGGGCCTATTCTCCTTTAAGAGGTGAAGCTGACATGCGTCTTTAATATTTTCCATTATTCCTTTTCGAAATTTCATTATGAATACATAACCACTGCACAAGAGTCACCTCGTATGGAAACCGAGAGAATAAATTACGGACTTCCTTGACTCCTTCTGTGACTTCACCTTCTTATTCCTGTAATTCTGAGAGTTCATTTTATACATTCTAAGTCAAAAGAAAAAATAATGCAGAGCTTATTTCAGCATACCAGAAAGCGAAGAACACAGGGTGCAGCACGTGCATGCCGAGTGGCCTGGACGGCAGAGCCCCCAGCGGCAGCAGCAGCACCTGGCAGTGCAGAAGTCCCCAAGGAAGGAAGAAAGGGGATGGAGACGGGTTGCAGAGGACAGGCACGGGCTGCCGCGTGGTCCCCGGGAGGGGGCATTCAGCAGAGAAAAGCAGCACGGGTGTCCTAATAAAGCCGCTGCTGCCCGTGCTCTGCGGGCACTGTCGGTGTACACACGACGCAGGCCAGCAGACGGACAGCAGAAAAGCAAACAGGGAGTGGCTGGCAAGCAGCGTTCCACTTACAAGCGTGTTCTTGTGTTCCGCCTGCAGCGCTTCGGGTTTACTAACCGAGGTTACCATGTGGGCCTTTACCTTTTCATAACAACTATTAGAAACGAAACGAAATGACCCCTCTCTGCCTTTCCCTGAAATTCAGCACTGGCCCCACCCTAATCGGCTTCACCTGAATCAGGTGATTCACTCTGGTGGAACCACCAGGGTAAAAGCAACGACAGCCAGGTCTAAAGCCAATCCCATTTCACAAATAAAAACGTGGCGCTGCCACTGAAGTCACTTTCACTTTAAAGCCTCTCCCCTTGCATCTAATGTTGTGACTGACCCAGAGGTCCTGTGCAGTAGCTGATCCCACAGGAGTCTTTTACAAGTTTACCACAGCTCTAGGCCTCTGCCCTAATAGCCAAGGCCCAACATCAGGCCACCCTTCAAAGTCAAATCCTCTTTACTAAGAAAAGAACAATCAAGAGCACAAACTAATCTGACAGCCACTTTCCCAGGCCAGTGCTCCCTCCCTCCCCCAGCAGCAGCGAGACCACAGGCTCCTTGCGGATTGTTGGGGCCCATGTGCCGCCTCCACCCAGACCTAAGCAATCCCTCCACCTCCTCAGATGTCTGTGTCCATAATGTGGAAACACCGGGACACATCTGTACGCCAAGAAGCACGGCAGGCTACCGGAGGAGGAGGAGACGGTGAGATATATTTAACTTTTGTGTTTTGCCACAAAAGGGTAAAACACACAGAGAGAGAAAACAGCAGAGGGTACATCTCTCCCCTCAGGCAGACCAAAGGTCATTTCAGCTGGCTGGCTGTGCCGGCCCCTCTCCAGGCCACCTTCTATCCCTGGCACCAAGAGCACCGTGATCTTAAGGAGAGCACATCTCTAGGAAAAATTAAAGAGGCGAACAAGAGAAATGGAGGGGCTTGGTCAAAGAGTTAATGATAAAGCACCTGCTACTTCCAGGCTAAGGCACGGCAGAAACTCAACAGGTTAAGGACGAAGACTCAGGGGTAACCTGACTCCGCTCACCTTGCCTCTCAGGCACCGCAGAGGGTGGGAGGTCTCCAGGAGCATCGCACCAGGACTAGAAGCTCTGCCCCAGAAATACACTCATGTGCACCCCTACAGCCCAAACACAGGCTCCCAGTCAAGAACCTCTGCTCCTTGGGACTGTAGCCACCAGGGTTTATGGCACTCTGTCCTTTAAATGTAAGCTCCAGTTTACATCATGAGGAAGCAACCAGACAAATCTAGGAGGAAAGTTCTCCAGGACAGTGCCAGGTCTCATCAGCATCATGGGAAAAAAGAGTTGTTTTAGGTTGGAAAAGACTTACGGGACATAACACTCACATACAATGCACCGTCCTGGACGGAACCTGAGTTGGCCAAAACAAGCGTATATGACATTTCTGGGAAAACTGAAAAATCTGAATATGAACAGGGTATAGGACAATATCAAGGAATTGTTGCTAATTGTGTAAAGGATGTTATGAAATAAATATCCAATTATTTAGAGAGATAAACTGAAGTATTTAGGGAATGGGAAGTCCTATGTCTGTAATTAAAAGAAAAAAACTTAACACCAAGAAATAAAGTAAGCTGAAAGGAGAAAAACAGGCAATTGTGGAGGATGAAAATCAAAGCAAAAAGTGAAAAACATTTGATCCATAATCCCAAACAATTAATGAAAAGGGGACCTGCTTATTCAGAGCCATTTGTGTTTGTTCAACTTTTGTTCAAAATTATGTCCTAATTTGAATATTAATTATGCAAATAATAGGAGAGGAAAAAAAAGAACATGGCTGCTCTAAACTGAAGGTAGCCTGACGTCCAAGGCTGGCTGGCAGGAGTCTACTCAGATCCGGCCCACAGCAGAATACCTGGGCTAGGCCTGAGACGCAGGGTAGTCCTGGATAACCCCAGAGGCCCAACAGACCTCTCGGAACCCGCCCTCACTAAGGCAGAGAGGACAGCCCAGTCACTGCCCAGATGGCCATCACCACTGCAGGGCAGGAAGGCAGAAGGCCCAGCAGGCCAGAGCAACTGCGCAAGGCCGTACCTGAGCAAGTATCGGACGCCATCACCCGCATCCTTCAGGGGTTCCAGGTAGATCTCCAGCCTCTTGTAGGACAGAACCAAGTTGAAAAGATCAAACGCTGGCGACTTGGTAGGAGCTGGAGGAGACTCCAGGGGGGCCTCAGGCATCAGGCTGGGGCTCACCTCCGGCCCACTCCGCTCCCGCTCTGATGTCTGCATCCTGTAACCACAGTGAGTCCCAACAAGTGCATTGTACTTCCAGTACCCAAGATCTGTGCATCGTTTTACGTGGTGGCCATAATAAAGCTGTGAGGTAGACGGGCCCCCCGGGGAATGCCCAAAGCAGAGCAACACGAGGTGAACTGCTCAGATACAACCCCGCTCGTCAATCTCGCTCTTAGGACCCCCTGGCCAATGCCTTTTTCTTCACAGACCAAGCTTGCATGCGTGCTTGGGGGAAGGCAGCCTGTATTCTCAAGAGACATCATGTCCTAGATTACCTCGCTCCCACCTTTCTCCTGGTTAATTCCTACCCACCCCTCAGGTAGCCGTGTGCGCATCCTGCTTGCTCTGGGAAGCCTATGCCAAATACCCTCGATCTGGACTGACAAACCCTTGCCCGTTCCACCCATTGCCCTCTCTGATACGGGTCACAGACCCCTCACCCATCTTCCTAAGTCCCACCCCAAACGCTGAGCAGCAAACGAGCAACCCAAGCCCGTCCCAGGCAGGCAGCTGCGACCAGAGACAGAAGGCGGATGACAAAGGGGCCCCTGGGAGCCCGAAATTCCCGCGGACGAGGTAAAAGCACAGAAAGGCGTGAAGGAGGTCAGCGCCAGCAAGGGCTCTGGCCATCGGCTCTGCAGCCCTGGGAGCCCGATGGGGGACCCCGCGGCCCAGGCAGGGAAGGCCACGCCCAAGGTCGCTGGGCCAGCAAGTGGCAGCCACCTCGGGACCTAGGGGCCCACTCCGCACCGTCGGTTGGCGAAGACACGCCGGTGGGCTGGGGGCGCCTCACCTCCCCGACCGCCGGCTCGGTGGATGCAGGGGCACCGACGGCCACGGGCAACCAAAAGGGCCGCTGAGGCCCGGAGCGCCTCGTCCGGACCGCCCCACCCCGACGCCACGCCTCCTCCCAGGGCCGTTCTAAAGTCGCAGGTCCGCGAACCTCCTCGGTCTCCGCCGCGGCCGCCACCGCTTCCGGGACGCGAGCCGTGCCGCGGCGGCGTGCTCGTGACGTCATCGCGCCCGCCGGGCCTCCGGCCGCGCTCGGCCTGTAGCTCCGCCCACGGCGGCACAGGTGAGCGCCGTCGTCAGCAGTGCGCAGGCGCGCCTTGCCTTCCCGAGCCCGGCCCTGGGCTGGCTCGCGTCCCGGCCGGGCAGCGGTTCGCCAAAGCCTGTAGGGCCCCGGGGGACACGCGGCGGCGCCCCGCACCTCCCCGCCCCGCCTTGCTGTGAAGGGTCCCGGCCGGGCACGGAAATTCAGTGTCTCTAGTATGTAGGTTTTTTAATAATAGCTTCACACTTGTGTCAGTTTTTTCAATTACCTGGCATGTAAGGTAATTGAAATGAGTAAGGTAGGCAGGTTTTCCATCTGGAAAATGGGGCTAACGTAGTAGCAACCTCACAGTGAGAGTTAGTGAGCTAAAGCACACAGATTCCTAGCTTTTATATGTACTCGACAATTAGTAGCAATCGTTCTTGTTTTTATCTTCGCTTGATGCCCTACCACTACCATCCGCAACCCAGAAATCAGGCAAGAACCCATGGAGGACCTCGATGTAGCCAAGTCAAATCCCCCACCACCACTCAGAGGAACGAGCTCAACTTCTTGGCTGGGCCAGGCTTGCCAGGGGCTCAGCCTCTCCCGGCGGTTGAGTTTTTCCCAGGGGTCTCCCTGGCGTCCCCTGCAGGTAGACAACGAAGGCCCCCGGTCTGAACTTGGAGGGAGGCCGTCGCCATCCCCGCCCTCACCTCTTCCCGGCTGCCTGGCACCCTCCGCGCCCCTCCCGCTCCTCTGAGTCCAGCTCAGACCACCTTCCCGCAGACCAGGTCTCAGTGGTGACCCCTGGGATAAAGCCGCAGGCCTGGGGTCCTCGAATCCACAAGTTCCCGGTGTGTCACACCTCTGCCCGCTACTGAGACATTCCTCCCCACTCCCTTTACCGGGCAAATGTCACTCTTTGTCCAGAACTCAGCCCCATCCTGCCCTTTTGGCCCTGGCCCTCCCTCCTTGGCAGCCGCCATCCGGATCCGAATCCGGTGCTTGTCCCACCCAGTACCCGGCAAATGCAAAGTTACCGTCTGCACTGGCAGCTCCTGCTCTCTCTAGACAGGGAGTAGTCCTGGAGAGGGATGCATTTAATGCAAGGGGGGGGGGGGCTGGGGAAGTTTTCTGGACAAGGTAGTATCTGAGCTGAGAACGCCCCGCCCTTCTTAGAACTTTATTTCCCCGATGCCCCAGCTACCTGAAATTCTACCATTGGGGATTTCCACAAAGGTGAATTTCAGTTTCTTGCAATTCCTCCTCCCTGGGTCTTCCTGACTACTGGCCTCAGGCTGGCTGTGATCCAGAGTAGGCTTGGTTTTTCTCTTCCAGTGGCTCTAGCGTTGACAGATATAATTTAATAACATTAAATTCATTTTTTGGAGGGAACTTTTGCGGATACAAGACCATTCCAAAGCCCAAAAAGAGAAGCAGTCGTGAGCAACAAGAGTGAGCAGAGGCCTCCCCTGCTGGAGATGAGCCTGCTGGACTCTGCTTTCCCGGGCCTCGCTCTGAAGTTGAGTGACTCTCTCCCTCGCTCAGCATTCGGCATTCTGCTTTCCCTTTGCTTCGAATCCGGGTGCCCCTAGTGTTTTCCCTTGGGTAGTAGAAAGATGGAAAAGACGGAAGGAGAAAATAAAGTAATCAAAGAGGACGATGGGTACCTTAGCCCGCAGCTGTTCGGAAGCATAACTGACCGGTTAACCTCACTGTGGCCCTTGGAGGAATGCGGAGACTAGCGGAGACGGGAGGAGGAACTGCACGCTCGCCTCCCACCAGCAGGGGGCGCCCCTGCCCACTTGTCCCGCCGACCGCGGAGTTTCGGGACATTTGCGAAGCTCTCAGGGACTGTTCCAGCGTCGCCCCGGCGCTTCCAGCTGTTTTTCCTGGCGAGGCAAGAACTTAACCTGGAAACGTAACGACTTAGACCGACAACAGGCATGTGATCGTTCACCCTGTGTTCTGGGTTTTGAAGGGCTGGTTTGGTTCCGGGGCCTCGTGGGCCGGAGGATCGGCTTCCCGGCTGGCTTCCTTGGCTGCAGACCAGCGGGCAGAAGGCTGCAAGGCCTCTCCACACCGGGACCCACCTTGTAAGCGCAGCCAAGCAGCCGGAGCTGGTGCGCCCTGAAGGCAGGCCGCTGAAGTCGCTCCCACGGCATCGGCAGGAGCCTGGCTGTCCCGATTACAAGGTCCTACTGGCCTCGCTGGTCGGCCCTATGCGAGCCCCCCAGGAACGTCACGAGGTTGGAGCAGCTGGGCCACCCCCCCCCCCGAGGCCACCCCCGAGGCTGGCGAGCGGGTGCTGCTCCGCCGGCCAGACACGCGCTCCCCTGCCCTGCCACCTGCCCCTGGCCTTGCCACACGCAGCCTGGACGTGAAGCCTTCTCCGCGTGGTCGCTCGCTCCTCCCTGTGTTTACCTTCCCTCAGCACCTGCCATCTCGCTTTTCCATCCTCTTCCTCCACCGTCTCGAGTGCCTGCGACAGGGAGACTGAAACTCAGTACCTCCACAGCCCCAGGTTCTGCACAGTAGCGCCTTGCCATGCTAGGTGCTCCATAAATGCTTGGGGTCCTGGGGGGGGGGGGGGTGTTTGTTTTAGATTTCTTTATTTACTCGAAAGGCGGAGTTTACAGAGAGAGAGAGAAAGAGAGAGAGAGAATGGATATGAGAATATTCTGTCTACTGCCAAATGGCTGCAACAGCCAGAGCTGGACCAAGCCAAAGCCAGGAGCCCGGAACTCCATCCAGGTCTCCCACATGTGTGGCAATATTTGAGCCATCTCCTGCTGCTTTCCCAGGCACATTGGCAGGAAGCTGGATCAGGAGCAGAGCAGCCAGGACTCGAACCAGTGCTCTGATAGAGATGCCAGCATCCCAAGCAGTGACTTAATTCGAGTCCCAACACAGATGGATTTAATGGCACTGGGCTATATGCCTACTGTTCGTGTTACATGTATTTTTGCACAAGTAAACATTTTTTAATGAATGAATATTGGAAGAACAAAATGTACTCTGTCCAGTCACAAGACGAAATGAAGTACTGATACATGCTAGAACATTGGCAAATCCTTGAAAACATTAAGCCAAGTGAAATAAAGCAGATATAAAAGGCCACACATTGTTGGATTCCATTTATAGGAAATGCCAAGATGGGCAAATCCATATAGACAAAGTACATTGGTGCCCGTCAGAGCTGAGGGGGTGTGAATTGGGAATGACTCCCCCAATGAAACCTGGTGCCAGGTTTCTTTTGGGAAGAGGAAAATGTCCTGGAATTCAGTGGTAGCAATGGGTGCACTACCTTGTGGATATACTGAAAACCACTAAATTGAAGACTTTAAAATGAGAAATTGTGGGGCTAGCACTGTGGCATAGCGGGTAAAGCTGCTGCCTGTGGCACCACCATCCTATTTGGACACCCATTCAAGTCCCAGCTGTTCTACTTCTAACATGCTCCCTGCTAATGCACCTAGGAAAGGAGCAGAAGATGGCCCAGGTCCTTGGGCCTCTGCACTCACGTGGGAGACCTGGAAGAAGCAGCTGGCTCCTGGCTTCTGATTGGCCCAGCACTGGCCATTGCAGCCATTTGGGGAGTGAACCAGCAGATGTAAGATCTTTCTCTGCCTCTCTTTCTCTCTCTCTGTAACTCTGCCTTTCCTTTTTCTTTAAAAACAACAGAATTCTTTTTTAAGATTTATTTGTTTGAAAGGCAGAAATGCAGAGAGGAGAGAAAGAGACAGAGCGCGAGAGAGAGCTTTCATCTACTGGTTCATTCCCCAAGTGGCCATAACGGCCAGGGCTGGGCCAGGTGGAAGCCAGGAGCTTCTTCCAGGTCTCCCACGTGGGTGCAGGGGTCCAAGTACTTGGGCCATCCTCTGCTGCTTTTCCCAGACACATCAGTAGGGACTTGAATTGGTGCCCGTAAGGGATGCCAACACTGTAGGCAGAGGCTTAACCTTCCACTTCATAGCACCGGCCTCATAACTCTGCCTTTCAAGTAAATAAATCTTTTCAAAAAAAAAATCAGAAAGTGTCACACAAAATCTTATGTTACATGAATTTTGTTTCAACTTTCAAAATGGATGACTACATGACAGAAATACTTGACCGGTATGTATCTGTAGAGTTTCCTTACTATTTGGGTGTTTTATAGAATTTCAGCTTAATACTGGACTAGCAAATATTCTTGGATTAATAGCTCGCTGCTGTTGCCCTGATAAATACATCTTTATATTCTTGTACCTGGGAAAGCGGTACTCATGAGTAATGGGTTTTCCAGCTGCGAGACAGCGAGTTGTTGGACAAACACAGCAAGGAAATGAATGTCTGCAGTGACATTCTTACTCAACAGTTCTTGGCAATCATGAAAACGACCATTCATCAAACACTGGCACAGAAAAAGCCTCAGAGCTAGGCAGTGAAAACCTCAGCAATAAAACCTTGTTCCTCCCGTGAAAGACACCGCTAACTCCCCACCCCAGAAAGTCTTGTTCCTCCCTCCCGTGGCTTACAAGTGTCTCTGGGCAGCAGCTGTCCAGCCCCCTTTGCATGTGGGCTGAGTCATGTGACTCCCGAGGAAGCGAGTGGGTTGAGTGTCCCTTCTAGACCAAGGCATTCAAGTCAGACCTGCTCCTGCGTCTCCTGCCCAGGCCACCAGGTGGAGTTTGAGTCCCTGAATCATCTGGTAGTGGGACGTTTCCCACTATCCAGAACGCCCACAGGGGACAAGTATGAGAAAAACACAGACGTCTAACATATTAAACTTCTGAGATGTTAGGGCGCATTTGTTACAGCAACTAAACATCGACATCCATTCATGGCAGCAGATAACTAAGGATTCTGTGCCTTTTGTGGGACTATAGAGATGACTAACCTAGAATTCTTTCCTCAAAAATTTGCATTCCAGTAGGACAGCCTGAATATATATACCACCCATGGAAGAGCAGTTGGTGACCAAAAATCCTGC